CATAACATCGTATAACATGACTTCACGCCTTTTATCCCCAAAGGGGTAGGCAGAGGTGCACATTACAGCACTTAATGCCACACCCGCTTTCACTATTTTGTGTTACAAGTCCCATGTAATAGGGGGTGAGCCTATTGCCATATACCGGACACATTTTCAGAATCCGTGCTACTTCTGAATTTTTTTTAAAAAACCCAGTACTACTTTGCGCGGGAATCGAACCCGAGACCACTCAGCCAATGAGGCAGTCATTATAATGTTAATAAAATCAATCTAAAATATTACCTTTATAAACAATTAGGCTAAAAGCACTTACATAACTTTATCAGTATACAAAGTTCAAAGTTCCACCCCCTGTCTAATTAACCCCCCTCAACCTACGGAACACCCTGACCACTGTCTTAGCCGCTCAAAATAGCCCATGGCTATCGATCCTATGACAGTACCATGAACTTCCTATAAATAACTCTGTACAATACATGTATTATTGTTTCAACTAAAATCGCGGGTTACTAACGTGAATATACTGAGAAAAGCTCTACTAGTTTCGAAACTAGTAGAGCTTTTAATTTAGTATGTCCCACGTTAGTTATTATAAAAACATAATAATATTATTGTTTCTATGTATTGTATTTACATAAATATCACGTAATAATATGATAATTATGTACTTACAATGAACAGCTGTAAAAGCGAATAAAATGAAACCTACCATAGGTTTCATTTTATTCGCTTTTTTAGGTTTGTCAATCTGATTTTCTTTTTAAAATGATGACTATGTATTACTATTTTGTCCAATAATCATGTGATTATGGTATGGTCATGGCTGAAAAAAAATCATTTACTATTATTTATTTGTTTATTCATTAACACGGTATACACCAATTACATTAATCAAATTAAATTACAAAAATTAATCTATATATATAAAAGAAAGTCATGTTAGTTACACCACTTATAACTCAAGAACGGCAGAATAGATTTGGCTGAAAATTGGTAGGGACGTAGCTTAAAGCCAGGAGACCGAGATAGGATACTTTTGAACCAATACTTTTCTTTTTACTTTTTACCGAAAATCACAAACGGGGACGGGAAAAATGGGATTACGCGTACGAAGTCGCGGGCAGAAGCTAGTATATTATAAAAAAAGAAAACTAAATTGAAGAAACAATAATGACTGGGTATTGAATTATGGGATGATAATGATCGAACTAAGTGCAAAATACATTTTTACATTAATGCAGTCCAATAGAAAAAGATGCAATTCACAAACCATTTCATCGAAAGTTCAGTAGAGAAAGAAATCAAGTTGAGTCAAAAATTTTCACTTTATTATATACTTATATTGATGCTGAAATAGCGAAAATCTAGACATTTTACTCACTGCACACTTTATTCTTTGAATAAAAATATGGCAGTATGCCAAAAAACTTGGAAAAGAAAATGCCGATTCTTATTTCTTCGCTGTTAGTAGAATATTCATTTTACTGAGCACGTTGTACGCAGCTGACTTAATCTCAGCTTATAGACTTTGCAGATTACTTCTTTAGATGGCTGTTGTTAAGAAAAGTAAATGGTTTTTGAAAGAATGAAAATTCTTGAGAAGTTTTGATCAATTTGATTGAAATTAATGATGGTAGCTACTTCGATTACAAAAACAAGAAACATCGGGTATTTTTTTAAGGGGGAATATCATCGAATGACTGCTCCCGCCTGCGTGAGGCGAGAGGGAGTGTCAGACTCTTACTGACTAAAATCCACCCCGTTCCTTCTCCTGCACGTCGAGCCGGAGCCCCGGTAACCCGTTAGGTTCTCCGTGACAAACATCGGGTAAAAGTAGGTTAAAATTTTACAGCGTTTCTGAGTGTTTGTTTTTTTTGTATTTAGAAACGTGGTATTTAATGTAAAATCAATTTTGAAATGTCTGTGCATTTTTTGCATACTCCAAAACGCCTGAAATAACTTGTTAAAAAATAATTTGACAATCTGATAGTGGAGTCGAGGTCTATAAAATTGTAACCATGTTTACGCATTTGATATACCATATTGGTGGCTTAAACTTCTTCAAGGCACATTTACTTATAGCACACAACTTGATGCTAAACCTTTACGCACATACCTCTTTCAGTTCTCTCAAACAGTTCCCATACATCACTGACACAGAATTCGCACTACAGTTAAGAGTCCATCTATAAAACGTTACTTCCATTTTATAGGCGACAATTTGAAAGCAACTTGATTCGTCACCTGTCTCTATAAAACCCTTACACTTGAATACACGCAGTAACGAGCGTACTGACATCTAGGACATAACAGAGACCTAGGCTATTAACCCACAATAGCAACAAAAACTCTTCAGAATGACTTGCATCAATGGATATTCAACTTTGTCTCTTGAAGGCGAAAGTTGATAATGCAAAGTTGATGGGATAGAATTTATGCATCAAAGGAAATCGGTGTCACGGAAGCACCGTGTCCAGATGTGTCAGTGATTGTTAACAACTTATAGTGTTAGTGCAGAACTGTGTCAATAGTTGGAAAACAAATTCTGAGATACGATGGGAGCTAGGGAAATTGTTTGGGATTAGCGTGATGATGATGCGTTGTTGGAATCTGTTAGGTATCAAATTAGTTAGTGGTATTTTGGTACACTAAAACTAAAGGTTTATTTCTCTCTACAGTTTCACATTTCTGAGTATAAAGAAAGCAACAGTTGTATAAAACCAAGGATATAGTTGGGGGACGAATGTTTTGCGACACGTGTTGCCAGCGACGTTGGGTGAAATAGCGGACTTTGGTCGACATGTCAGGCAACTTCAACGTCACTGTGGACATAAGGCGTCGCTATATAATAATATATCGGCAGGCTTCGGTTGACACGTCGCTCATACATGTCGTGGGACATTTTTCCCCAAGTGTATCCTTGGCTTAAAACTAACAGTTCTACAAAAAGTTTGTAATTTTTGATGGAAAGAAACAAAGAAAAACATTTATTTCGCTCGCTAAAAACCAGGTGACGTGTACAGATTATAAACGTTTAAACAAGTTAGATATTACCTAAGTACTTATAGGCACATGCTCATGTCCCAAGTATGCGATCGGGATCAGTTCATTTGCTAGACATTATGGCCTTGCGCTGATATTCTACTGGCCCCTTGAAGGATTTTCAGTGCCGTCCGTATTGACTTAGTCTGAAATATAGTTTCCAAAAAAAACTCAATATTTTCCAAACATTAATACATTAGATTAATCTTCAAGCCTAATGTATCTCATTATAATGACATGTAGTGACAGCACGGTTTATTCCACTTTGTTCACCTGGGTGATTTCACCTAGGTGAACAAAGTAGACTTTTTGGAGTCCTCAATTCACCTGGAAATTATTTCACCCAGCTGATATCACCTAGGTGAATTGAGTTGACTCAAGTAGTCTCCTTTGTTCACTTGTCAATTAATTCACCCAGGTGCACAAAGGCGACTTTTTACTTTTACGTTGTGGACTTATATCACCTACCTACCTTAAATCAAGTTAAATAAAAACTTTCAATTTAACATATATTTTAATATGTTCAAATATCAGATTAATGTTGGTCTACACATGCATAAACCTGATAGAATCTAGAAAATTCTATTACATTCGATCAAGAATAGTAAAAGACAATTTAGGTCAAATAGAGTGATGTAACTAGGACTTATCGCTGGCTAGACTGAAGCCGTTCAAGTCTAGAACAGGTGACCTGACATGGCTACGTGTGTGAATGACATCGTACCTATATTTAATTTTAACAGAATATTTTATGTGGCAGTCTGGGTAATGTCTCGTCTATATTGGACTAAAATATCCGAAGCTAATTATGTTTGGTAGTTTTTAAGTAAGTAATTAGTTCGAAAATTACAGTACACAATGTTTGTAATGGGTATGATGTAATTGACATAATTTAATCGTACTTAACTATAGGATCTTTTCGATCTTTTTAATTTATTTTTTATTTTACGATAGCTGAATATTTTCTACAGGCCAGAAAATAATAAGCGCTATGTATGAAGCCGTTATATATTCATCTAATTTCTTACATTGTTACGTAAAATCCTAACGAAACCCCCTCTAGTCTCATCCTCACAGGACAAAATGGCCTGTCAGATTCTTACTGACACAAAACCACCGTGGTGACGTATCTCACTAGCGAATACGGGAATGTGACAAATATGTTCTCCCATCACCTCTAATTAACTTTAATAAGTGAAGAAATTGATTCAATATGTATGTCGTCATAGCCTACTTATATAAGTGTTGATACTTAAACTTCATCTACTAGTTAGCACTCTCTACGGCCAGTATAACAGTGTCAGATTAATTAATTAATAACTCCAGCAGACGAGTTCTGCCCACCTTACCCATGTATTTTATGTCCAATGTTACCATGACCTGCAAATTAAGTAAAAATCAATAGTTTTGCCCGCTGAATTTCATGCGAAGGTCGTACGAACTGATTTAGGGAAGTGGGGTGAAACATTTGTAGTCCAACCGTCTGCTTTGTTTGACTCATTCGATGTTACATAACAACATTTAGGCGTGGGTGTTTACTATTCTGTTTATGTATGTTTTACTTTAGTAGAAGGAAATTGGTTTTCTGTTATGCTTTTTTTATTTACCACTCTGAACTGATTATATTAATTCTAAAAATTACACGCAATAAAAGGTTCACGTTTTTTTCAAATGCGTATAAATCACTATAAATAAAGAGTCATCAAAATCAACAAAAAAGTATAAATACTAAAAAGTTTACAAACACAACACAAACTTTTTGTTGAAACGTAAATACCTACTTTTATTTTTCTATTATAAGTTTCTTTTTCATTTGACAACTTCACACTGGCACAAAACAAAAGAGCGAAAAATAAATAGAAAATAAAAAAATGCACGTCGCAAGAGAATATTTTCCAGGGATATTCATTTTAATTGGTTTTTTGTATTATTTTATTACAGAATACGCCGCCAAAATGAGCTATTTAGAGAAAGTCGACCGATATTTGGACTCCCTGAAAGTGGGAAAGAGTAAGTTACATTTTGTTAATTTCTTTTACATTGAATTCATCTAAAATCCTGACATTTTGCATTTTCAATTAGAGGAACGTTGTTCTCAAATTATTAGAGTGTAGATATGTGTTTTTCGTAAAAGTCATTTCATCCTTTTTCTTATCCGTATTATTATTAGAGTTATTAGAGTATTTACACATACCTAATTAGCTCTGACAGAAAATGCCTGTGGCATTAAGTCCACTTTATGCATAAATCTGTTTTATGAAATAAGTTCCATATAAATTCGCTGACGGTACACTTGATGGTGAGCACGCCTAAGGACATCTATAGGACCAGAGCTACTACACAAGTTGGCTTATGGCCGGGGTAGGATGGGAAGGCAATTTAGGTTTCAGAAAAAAATTTAGCTCTCGCAGGAGACCTTTGTGCCCTAGGTCTAAACAAAATTACCTTATCATTTCCAGGTGCCTTGGTGGATTCCTGGTTCATGATGTCGAGCCCCATGCCATTGTTCTCAGTGGTGGTGGCCTACTTGATACTCATACGTATTGGCCCCAGAATTATGAAGAACAGGCAACCTCTTCAGATGAACAGGCTGATTGCCTACTACAACGCTTCCCAAGTGCTTCTAGCCTTTGTGATTTGTTTTAAGGTAAGATAATCATATTCTCGGATTGACGCTTCTTTATCCCCGAAAGGGAGGCAGAAGTGCACATTACGGCACTTAATGTCTCGGTACAATGAAACACCCACTTTTCACTATTTATATTATGAGTCCTATGTAATACGGGTGAGCCTATTGCCATATACTGGGAATAGTTTCAGACTCTGTGCTACCACAAAGTTTTTTTTTTAAACCCAGTAATACTTTGCCCGACTCGGGAATAGACCCTGAGACCCCTTGCCCCTTGCCTCGTTAGCTGAGTGTTTTCAAGTGCGACGGCCGGGCAAGGGGCATAACTGGGTTATTAAAAATCTCAGTAGTAACACGGAGTCTGGAAATATGCCCGGTATATGGCAATAGGCTCACCTCCTATTACATGGGACTTATAATAGTGGGTGTTACATTGTACAGTGGCATTAAGTGCCAAAATGTGCAGCTCTGCCTAACCCTTCGGGAATAAAAGGCGTGATGTTATGTTACTATAAGCCTCTTTTACATAATAAGATTATCTTAATATCCACGCATACCGGATCAGTTGGAGATGACAATTTGATAGGTTCATGTTTGTAAAACAACGCTACAGCTATGTTTTTTTTTTTGTTGGCCCACCTGATGGTAAGTGGTTACCGTGGCCTATGAACGCTTGCAACACATGGGACATTGCATTTGCCTTGCCGGCCCTTTATAAAACCCATTTACTCCTTTCTTGAAGAGCCCCATATTGTAATTGGGAAAACCTTGCCAGGGAATTTATCGCACAATCGGAGGGTCCGTGGGAGAAAATTCCTCTGAAACCGAACTGTACGGGAACCGAACTGTACACAGACCATTATACAAGCGGTCAGGTCTCGGTTATGTGTGTAGTACATTCGGGAAGAGTAGAGATAATGGTACATGTATATTACTCTCCCGTTTCCACATTTAACTATGTCCTATTTGTAAGAAAACTAAAGCAAAAACAGTTATTATAGTTGACATTTCCATAAACTATCTTTCACTGTAACTAGAATAAATTAAACAATTATGACGCAGGTAGAGTTCAGGAATGCAATTTTATTATAACAATTATACATATTACGTTCAGTTGGAAAATGTAATTAATATAATAGATGGGATCATAATACCCGGTCGTGGTGGCCAGGAGGTTTAAGACGCCCACTTCTCATGCATGAGGGTGCGGGTTCGAAACCTACCAACGGCAAGTACCAATGTGACTTTTTCCGAGTTATATGTACTTTCTAAGATTATTTAGACACCACTGACAAACGGTGAAGGAAAAACATCGTGAGGAAACCTGGACTTATAATTTCTAATTATAAGTTTGAAATCGCCAACCCGCATTGAGCAAGCGTGGTGATTAATGCTCTAACCTTCTCCGTGTGAGAAGAGGCTTTGCTCAGCAGTGTGCATTTATAGGCTGTTGATGATGATGATGATGATCATAATACGTAACAATGTTATCGTTGGTCGTTAATCTGTCAAACACCAAGCGGTCACCGGTGACCGCGACCTATTGTTCTTTAATTGTGTCTATAAAACCGGTACTCGACGAGTTAATCAAGTGAAACAGTGGAGTTGCTTTTTTAATTGTTTGTGTTTTACTGGGGTATAGTAAGTTCATGGTAATGGATTACTGTTATAGGTTCACCGTACGTAATTGTAACCTAGGTACATGAAGTTTTAATTGAAATAGTAAAGGTTGGTTTTATGGAACGCTTTGTTGTTTGCGTACTTAATTAAACATAAAATCGCCTCCATTATTTGGAAATGCCTGGGATAAATAAAAAAATACACATGCTTGTTTACGATATTTCAATTCTGGTCCTGCAGAAAATATAATATTTGTTGGGCTGGGCAGCAATAGTTCATGTAAAATGCTCTGACAAAACGTCGAAAAGTAAGCTTTACAGTGTACCTCTAATAATAGCTTTGCCTTCGGGAAAAAATGGGCAACGTATCTTTATGCGTATCGAATATAAAACGTAGAATAGGATATTTCATAGCTGTGTGTCTACACAATCATGTACTCCGAACTACTCTCAAGTTACGCTAAACTTGCAGAAGTCTGACATCTGGTAACTTTGATACATCGGTCCAAGTTGTCGCATAAATATAGCTGATAGTTACGTAAAGTTAGAAGACCAGCAGCTGGAGCCAAATGCCATTTAGCGCTTGTCTACATGTAGAATAGAAAACCAAATTATATGGAATTGACGTAAATTTTGTCCCTTCTCAGTGTCATCCCCATACATTTTGATTTCTACACTCTCTGTAGACAAGCGCTTAAGTGGCGTTTGGCTAAAGGCCCAGACGCTCGACAGTAACGCTGATCCAGAATGAGTTTCATTTCATAAAGTGGCTGAAATTATAGGTTGTTTATTTCATAGTCATTAATTTGGTCGATTTTTGTTAAGATGGTACGAGTAATTCATACTTGATCTTCATAGACGAGAGGGTTTCGTGGCACTGTTTAAATTGTTTTATCTCCCTCATTACAGGTTTTCAAACTAAATCTCTTCAGGGATGGCATAATTTATGCGGGTTGCCGCTATCCTTCCAATACGCAAAATGTTATGGTAAGTAAAAATGTATAAAATAAAGCTACGTTTTTAATCTACATATTCAGTTATAAGTTCTTATTTTATTTTCTATTTTTCAGCTACTAGATTTGGGTTGGTGGTATTTCTTTGCCAAGTTTACTGAGCTGCTCGATACAGTGTTCTTTGTTCTACGGAAGAAAGACAGTCAGGTGAGTAACAGCTGATACAATATTATTTAATAATACTAGTCCAATAATAACATTGTGTCTATATTCCATTTGCAAACATGACACTACTTATGACTCTCCAACACTTACAATAATATTACGCCTTATAGTATGCCTAACATAATTTTAGATACAACTAGCTTCTGCCCGCGACTTCGTACGCGCAATCCCGATATTTCCAGCTCCCGTTCTTGATTTTCGATAAAAAGTAAAAAAAAGAATTGGGTAAAAAGTATCCTATGTCTGTCCCCTGGTTCTAAGCTACCTCCCCACCAATTTTCATCCAAATCGATTTAGCCATTCTTGAGTTATAAATAGTGTAACTAACACGACTTTCTTTTATATATATAGATGTTGTAATTGTAACGAACATCGAACGTATATTGGACGTTAGAAATCTACTATATGTATAAAAATAAGTCGGGTTTTCCTTCCTGACGCTATAACTCCAGAACACACAAACTGATTTCCACGGTTTTGCATTCGTTGGAAAGGTCTCGGGCTCCGTGAGGTTTATAGCAAAGAAAACTTTTAATCACCAAACGAAATATTACATAAAACGATGCCATCTGGTGGCGAAACGGAGTTCGCCGGGTTTGCTAGTTGTTATATATTTGATTGTTAGGATTAAAGAAAATAAAATTCAAATTATGACTAAACGTACTGTTACACAATGGTCTAAGAGCATGTTAAAATGCTTTGTATTGACCATGCTCAAAACTTTTCAAAAATCGAACACTTATCCATTCGCAAAGTTGCGAAGAACCTATCGGGTAACCGGGGCTCCGGCTCGTATTGCAGGAGAAAGAACGGGGTGGTTTTTAGGCAGTAAGAGTCTGACACTCCCTCCCGCCTCACCCAAGTGGGAGCAGCCATTCGATGATTTTCCCCCCTTAAAAAAAAATTCATTCGCAAACATGCCTGAAATAAGTATGCTAACTTTGAGCTATATTCCGATACACATACTACTAGGGACAAGAGCCTTTTTGACGCATGCTTTCGTGCTTGCTATTAGCATGTGTTACAGTACCTCAACTGTCACCTTTTTACTGAAAGAACAATTTTTGTTCCAGGTGACCTTCCTACACGTTTACCATCACGTGATCATGGCTCTCTACTCCTGGAGCTACCTTAAGTTTGCAGCTGGTGGCGAGGGAGCAGTCCTGGCCCTACTGAACTCCATCGTACACGTCGTCATGTATTCTTACTACCTTCTGTCTGGACTGGGACCTCGGTTCCAGAAGTATCTGTGGTGGAAGAAATATGTTACTAAGCTACAATTGGTATGTTTGATTAAGTATTTTTCTCTTGAGTATTATAAAAAGGTGCATTGTGAGAAGATATTTTTTATAGAAGTATACCGCATACAGATGTTAATGAATATCTCGAATCACCATGAACAAATGGTTCTTTAGATTATCTATGAACATTTAAATTAAATAACATAACATAACATCACGCATTTTATCCGTGAAGGAGTAGGCAGAGGTGCACATTACGGCACTTAATGCCGCTGTACAATGTAACACCCATTTTTCACTATTTATTTTATGATTCCCATGTAATAGGGGGTAAACCTATTGCCATATACCAGGCATAATTCCAGACTACGTGCTACTACTGAGAATTTTTTTAAAAACACCCAGTAATACTTTGCCCGACCCGGGAATCGAACCCGAGACCCCTTTCCCGGCAGTCGTACTTGCGCCCACTCGGCCAATGAGGCAGTTTAAATAAAATAGATATTTGTTACATGAATACAATCAATTAAGCTTAAACGTTGCCTTTTATCTTACAATATTTGGTACGGATATTAAAAAAAGAAATAAGTAACGAACACAAACATTATTTTTCTTGGTCTCAGGCTATGACTATTATTTGCAGATCCAGTTCATCTTGATGCTGACGTACTGCGCCTGGACGCACTTCTCTCCGCGCTGTCAGTACGCGTCCGGCTTCACGTACTTCATCTGCACCAACATAACCATCTTCCTCTTTCTATTCCTCAATTTCTATAGCAAGAGCTACAAAAAGAGAAACCTTGACAAGAAAAACGTTGAGAAAGAACTCAAGGAAGAATACAACAAAACTCATAGTAATACCACGACGAATGGAGTTTGCAAAAATGGAGTCAATAACAAAAAAGAGAACGGGGTGCATGGGAACGATTGCAAGAGTGTTCCCAATATAGATGAAATCCCTTGTGAAGTGAACAAGGCTTGTGGTGATTACGTTAAAGATGGCAAAGTCTTCCTCTCAAGGCGGACGGCAAAAGCAGCGTATGGCGCCGAATACGACTTCGATAGTATAATAAAGAAATGATTCGACAAGGTCAAAGACTACAGCTAGCGGTTCTATTGAGACTGATGTATGTGATGACATTGGTATTGTTAAAGCCTAAGATTTATGTGGAGTTTGGAAGTTAGATAAGTACGCTTAAGTATTCGCTTCACTAGGACTCTCTCAAATTGAAGAAAGGACCAGGTTTGGTGCTATCATTTGTTAGAGCCGTTAATTTTCAAGTGAGGTCTAAAATTACAGCATATCGTAGTTCGTATTGCAAAATTAATGAATTTAAAAATTGTCGTACCAGTGAGAAGACGCTTTAAATTTACAATAAATTGCCAACCGCACAATTGTTAATGTAGATTTTAAGGTTAAGCATTTGCTGTAAATATAATACGTGAAGTATAATCGTGCACTTATTCGATGCAGCCAGGTTTTGGTTTGGGATGGAGACCTTTCATACATGGAGTTGGTGCGAAGAGACAAATAAAATAACTTTGTATATGTTCATCTCAAGGACTGCACAGCTCTGAGCAATGCATGTTATTGTGTGCACAGCACTTCAAATTCAAGAATTTCTTGCCAAGCACTTTCTACTGATATTATTAAGTGTATTACACTTTCTCAGTTCGCAATATGCAGCCGTCCACTTGGATCATAAGATTTCCCAATGACTATTAACATTGAATTGTTTTGTACTTTTCAAATCCTTGTTTTGAAACATAGTTGTCTTAACTACGCTCGTTGGCTTCAGTTTTGTTATTTGCTTTTTAAGTCGCAATAGGATCCTGATCTTAGAATACACTCATGTTTTGCTATACGGCTAACCAAGAAAATAGTTCAGTGTAGATAATTTGAGATAGAAAAATCATTTTGTATTAAGTAGTCGAATTCGTTCACCATATGCATTTCAATTTACTCCTACAGTCCTTAAATATTAGATTACATTTTTCTTAAATTACTAGAAATTTGCCTGCATTTTCGCAGCCCTATGATTACCTCTCTGATCAAAAGTAAGCAAGCAAAATTTAGCTTCTAGTAGCGCGGGACCACTCAACCTTATTTACTAAAGGATAGAATTGAAAGTAGCGTAATGTATGAAAAGCCTCAGAAATTATCAATTTAAGTAAAAAATAAGTTTTAATAAGTGTACCAGGATACCATTCGTGTCCGCGGTCATGTAATTTTGTTATCTAAGTAACGTACTATTAGTTAATTTAATAATTTAGTCGTAGTTAACGAAAATGGATTCGATTCACAGACAGTCAATTTTGGAATGTACAGTTAAAATGATTTCAGCTTTGTTTGTTTTTTTTTTAATATTCATTATATACCTACACAAAGGTGTTATTATTAGAGTTGTTATTCTCACAGGTTATGTTTATTTGTATGTTTTATTAGAATACATTTTGTTTTGCTTGTATATTGTCTAGTAATGTAATGATGTGTATTTTTGTGTAAAAAGTTTTTTGTATGGTCTGTCTATAAAAAAGTCTGGAAGAGCGGCATGTTGCCAATGACGGCAGCAAGGCAACTGCTGCCGTCGACATGTGTCGGCGGCAACCGCTGACGTGTCGACGGTAGAAGTCGATCTATAGTGACATTTGCAGCGTTCTTCGAAGTTTAAATGTTGATGGCTATCAACGACGCGTCGACGGCTGCAGTTACCTCTGCCGTTGGCAACATGTCGCTTGTGAGCTCTAAGATACAATCGATTTAGATCCATGTCAACTTACTATTGAAACCTAAAGCCGTTAAAAACTCATTGTTCACTATTATTTTTTAATACCTGGCGGCTATTTTATTTGTTTGCTTTGATATTTATTGGTAACTGCTGATTGATGAATTAATTGAATTTCTTGATTGTTGTGGATTGGATCCTCTTCCGTTACCTATGTCTAATTAATTTTTCAATTAGTATAGTTTTGATTTTGTACTTTTAATGCAATTAACAATAGTACAAAATAATGTTAATTTTAAGAAACTAATAAAGTTTAAATAATATATTTGCATTTTTATTTATTTACTAACTTTTTTGATAGATATTTTGACAGTATGATTACAATGTACAGAATAATAAGTAATAACCTTCCTACAAGGTTCATCGTACACGGCGTAGGTATTATATGCGCAGGCGACGCACAGATTACGCGCGTATACGCGCTTCATAAGATATTAGAACGCCATCTTGTAACCACGAAGCGATTGTAAAATACGCCACTATGGCGCGTATTTGCACTGATAAGATTTACACACCTATTGTATTCAATGAAATTCATAGTCACTTACTTAACCTTTTTGACCGCCACGGACGTCTTTAGCCGTTCAGAAAACGACATATTTTATGTACAAAATAAAAATATATTAGATAAAATTTTCTGTGTTCCTTGTGTCTTATTATTTAAACTGTCAAACACCGCGAGCACACCGGTGACCGCAACCTATTGTTCTTTAATTGTGTCTATAATGACGGTACAAAGGTTTAAGGCGTGTTTCTCGTACACACGGGTAAACGCGCGTTTCACGTACACACCACACGGGTAAATATTTTAATAGAAAGCGAATTAACTATTCTGTTCAATCAAATAAAGAACGGGTTGTTAACTTGAAAATATACGTCACAGAAAAAATATCCAATCGGTGCACGTATCTCGTACACACGGGTGTACGAGATACGCGCGAGAGCGCGAGAGGTAAAATATCGCTCTGTCGGTCAAAAGCTTAAGGTGTACTCTATGAAAATGAAATCATCGGGGTAAAGTTAATTATGTAAAACTTTTTTGAAAATAGATAACACTCGAATACTGAAAGGCTACGCAATGTTAAATTGTACTTAATCATGCCATCTCTGTCATTTTACAAAGAATTTGTAGTGATAGGACAATACTTAAGCGCGACTAAGTTGATTAGCGTTTGAGTGTTCGCGTGTAAGTGTTTTAATAACATTGCTAGTCAAAGTACTTGTGTAAATTTCTATTACCTGTAAGCTGTTTAGGTATAGTAGAAACATATTTACATGAATAAATACAATTCTGCATAAAAACTACTATAAAGTATTAAACTATGTATTATAATCATTTCCATATAAGTCTTCATTGCAATCGGACATAGGTATAAAATATTTATTATATCTATAAGCTTTTATTAGTTTAAATAATGTCTTTCCATATGCATCGATTGCAAAATGAAACGTTTTGGGATTTCAAAGGAAAAGGTGAGTAATTTTTATTTATATTTGTTTTACAATATTGTTTAATCTTTTATCTGTTGAAAATACAAAACACATTATACCCGCAACTTTCAACAGACAAGAGGTTAAAGTATTTTGCGGAGATACGTGGATTTATTGATGTCAAGCATCGTGGGTTGTGACCTTTGGTCATAGCCGTCCAAGATCAGTTTTTTTAAGGGTGGAACATCACCCTATTTACTTCTCTGAGGCGAGAGAATGTCTGACTATTACTGACTTAAAATCACTCCGTTCCTTCCTACACCTGCTTTGGACCAAGATTAGGTAACTGAATTCTCCCTGGAGATTTTTAAATTTCAATTCGATTATTGTAACATTTTTATGTCATAAGCCGGTAAACGAGCAGACGAATCACCTGATGGTAGGTAGGTAAGCATTAAGCGCTGGTCAAGGATACCCGCAACACCAAAAGAATTACAAATGCATTGGCGGTCATTTGGGTGTAAGGCATTTGGGGATTGGGGGATTTGATAAATGGGGTGAATTGGACGTCTACGCTCGGAGTCTCTTTGAAGGATCGAATCCGAAACGAAGTGATCCGACAGAGAACATAAAACAACACAAACATATCGACATAGCCCAAAGGATCAGTAAGTCAGTAATGGCAGTGGGCCGGTCACATTTATCGAAGAACCGATAACCGCTGAGGTAAACGTGTTCTAGAGTGGAGACCGCGTCTAGACAAACGCAGTGTAGGGCGCTCTCCAGCTAGGTGGAGTGACGACATCCGCAAGGTGGCTGGTTGGATGAGAAGAGCTGAAGACCGAGCTCTGTGGCGTGCCATTAGAGATGCCCATGTCCAGCAGTGGACGAATACGGGCTGATTATGATGGACGTCTGTCATTGTGGTCTCTGGTCGAGCTGATACATTCGTGCCTCAGCATTAAATTTTAATAGTCTGTTGGTGGTAAACACTGCTGACTGTTGGACTATGTGATTCCAATACATCGGCGGGTTTGCCATCATTAACACGATTTGCTAGCGAGCTAGACATTGTACCTAGGTCAAGTTTGGAGTCACGTGTATCTATATTTAGAATAACTAACAATGAAAACAATTAAAATTTGTACCTAATTAGTGGTTCCATTTCTATCTGAAAAAATATAGAGGTAAACATCATGATTTTGAACTAAACATTGTTATGTTTACTTACGTAAATATGCTGAGAAAAGCTCGACTGGTTTCGAGTCACAGGTAGACTCTTCCTCATGACGCGATGACGTCGGAGCCGCGGAGGACTTAACGGGTTACCGGGGCTCCGACTCGAAGTGCAGGAGTAGGAACGGGGTGATTTTTAGTCAGTAAGAGTCTGACACACCCTTCCGCCTCACCCAGGCGGGCGAAGCCATTCGATGATTTACCCCCTTAAAAAAAGACGAAATGACGTCGTCTCTCTGCGACTCGAAACTAGTAGAGCTCTTCTTAGTATATTTATGTGAGTAGGTATAAACCGTTATTTTTAAGTTAATTTAGTTTCCGCCTCACGATTGTTATTATGATTTTCATTGTTCTATTGATGTAGGTATTTAAATCGCTTCATGTATTTAATCAATAAATATTATGTAAAATTAAATAATTTTGCATAGAAAATAGAAATAACCTGGTCATCGGGTGTGTTAAGTATGTTTAATTAACATAATATATAATTATGCAATAACCACTACCGGTAAATGTGATGCCATATTTATTATTGTTGTACTTTGTCATATTATTATTGATAAACGAAATAAAATACAGTTTTGCATACGTGTCTAGCACGTCACACCATTTACTTAAGAACTGCAAAAAAGTAATAAGTAATTGGTAATGCATTAATGTATGACGTTACATAGACAAAATAATAGTATTGATAAATCAGTAGGTAGGTATTATTTATACTTGAAAAAGATTTTGATGAATTTAGTAGAATAGTTTGGAAATTCGGAAATGTCTTGTGGGTAAGTACAACCTGATACCGTGAGACAGGCAATAGCACAAACCCATAACAAAATATTATTACTTATCGATACTAGATACACCTACCTAAGTCTTTATAAGTAGTTTATGTTAGGAATTGGGGCACCGGCTTAACTTTTAGCGGGCGTTGTTGGTAGGTACTCAACACCGAATAATAATATGTTTTTTGTTTTTAGTTTATGGTTTTTGATGTCGGTTTTTTTTAATATCTAAACACAAATCGCACCTGCCTAATGTAAAATTGTCGTTACTATAAAAATTAAGCCATCGTTAAATGGAAACAAATCTTATCTTCTTATTATAATTATGTATCCTGACTGGCTGAGTGGTCGCAAGTATGCCTGCTGGGCAAGGGGTCTCAAGTTTAATTCCCGGGTCGGGCAAAGCTCTACCGGGTTTAAAAAAAAATCATAACCGAGTCTGGAGTTGTGCCCGGTATATGGCAATAGGCTCACCCTCTATTATATGGGACTCATAAAATAAATAGTTAAAACTGTGTTTTATATTGTACAGTGGAATTAACTGCCGTAATATTTACCTCTGCCTACCCCTTCGAGGATAAAAGGCGTGATGTTATGTCGATAATTATTAAGCTGAAGAGTTTCTTTGTTTGAACGCGGTTACCTATCTCTAAAACTATAATTTATTGAGAGAAGCATTTGGCTATAAAACATCACGTTATGATCAAAAGGAGCCGAGCTGAGCGTGTGAAACCGAGTCGTTAATAAACAGCTTTTTATTTTCAGTGGACTTCGTGGATGAATGGTTTCTGATGAAATCTCCATTACCCGTGATAACCATTATAGCGACATACTTGTATTTTGTCCTGAAAGTTGGTCCTGATTACATGAAATCCCGAAAGCCTTTCAATTTGAATAATGTTATTGTTTTATACAATATATTTCAAGTATTTTTATCGGCTTATTTATGTTATTTGGTAAGTATTTTTATGTCTATACGTCATAAACCACATTTTCCTTTTTCGTCTCAAGCAAATTAGGCTCGTCCATTATAATAATAATAACGAAAATTTCTAACTTGGATTCAGCTCGTTACTCGATTGGCTAATTATTTTTTATATTTTTAAGTCCTCAAGCGGTCACCGGTGACCGCTCTCGATTTATTTCAGTATAGACCTTACTTCCAATGTTTAGAGACTATTTTTGATGAACAAATGTTGTGGAATTTTTATAATGGAGGTTTAGAAGGTTATAATTAAAAATTTAAAAATATTTGGAATGAAAAATAAATTAAGAGATAATGAATATTAATCAATTATGGATCATTTTCCTACTAAATCATATTATTTCTATCAATGTTATCTGGTCTTTAGAGGCACATTTTTGTAGGTAGCATGAAATCTAATGATGCCTGAAATAAATTATTGAATTTTATGTGCCGAACAATCGGAATACTCATTTAATTTTTTTTTTTATTGTTTTATAAAAACGTTGCCCCACACTAGGATTATCTCCTGTGTCGTGGGTGCGTTTACAAACATATAAGTTCACATACCCATGATACCCAGACCCGAAACAACAATTTGTGGATCACACAAAGTGTTGTTCCGTGCGGGAATCGAACCCGCGACACGTTGCACGGCAGCCGGTTGCCCAGCCACCGCACCAACCGTACAGTCAGATTTAAACTATGCTAAATAAGTCCTTTAATGAATTATTTTTTTTTACAGTGCACACAACTGATGTTAGAAAATGGTCTTGTTAGCAAAACTTGTCTCATAGAAAAAGAACATACAAGACGAGGTGTAAGTTATTTTTCTTATTTTATTTATGTTTTTACTTTTAAGTTAATTATTAGATTTACGTTATTAATCCGCTATTAATAAAAACGACCTCTTCATTGTTTAGCGCCCTCTGGTGACCAAAAAATGTAATATTATAATATTAGTACTCTTCAACGAAAACTAGATGGCGTGACGGTACTTATATAAACGTTATATCCTTGCATTGCATCGGACACAGTTACCTCTTTTTAATCTAATAGATCTAAAATAATCTATAGGTAAAAAACAAGATTTAATTTCATAAAATTTAGGAATTAAATGTTTCTTTTATGTAATAATAGTAGTAATCAACTACTAAGGCTGATGTTGCATGGATAACACGAAAATCTAAACAATTAATTTATAAAAACAATATCTTTTTATCAGCGTTTCGGGAGCGTTCCGCTTACATCACATTTTAACTTCATTTTTATAACATTTCAGATAACAAACGAAATGTACTACTACTTTATAGCAAAAACAAGTGAACTTTTGGACACAGTATTCTTCGTTCTAAGGAAGAAGACCAGCCAAGTGACCTTCCTCCACGTCTACCACCATGCAATGATGGTGATCGTCACCTGGTCTTTCCTGAAGTATGAACCAACATACATGATGATTTTCATAAGGAATATTAATTCATTTGTTCATGTGATCATGTATACGTATTATTGTTTGTCTGCATTCCCGGCTTTGAAGAAGTATTTGTGGTGGAAGAAATATATTACGAAGTTGCAATTAGTAAGTATTTTTCAAGTGACTTCAATAGAATTTTTTGGGTAGGTAATGGTACTTTAGCCAGTGAATCAGTGAGTCATTGAAGGAGGCCTAAATTCAGTGGTATATGTCTTGTGGCTGGGACAATGATGATGTAATATTCTTCATATAATGCTATGGGTAGACAGATTTATAACCACGTTACTTTTTTTTTTGACAAGTGAACTAAAGTACTTATTAATGTTTTTAAAAAGCAGTATCTACTAAATTTTTCTAAAGTTATGTTCGTTGTGTTATTGATCCTTAGAATTAACCTATAAATCAATAGTAGATGCTACAAGTATTATTTCGTTCTTGCATTAATTATATAAAAAGTTCACATGGAATGTAGGTAATTTCATTTAAGTGATATGTCTAATTTATACTTGAGAATAAGCATTCTATAGGTTACATAGTTCAGTCGTCAGCCTGGCATAAATTTCAGAAAGTGCTTGGGGATAAGAACTCAGTATTACTCTGTTCAGTTGTCGTCCTGATATAAATTTCAGAAATGTAGCCTTGCAATTAATTGCTAACATTTTTCTTGCAGGTACAGTTTCTATCAATACTAATTCACTTCGCGATGGTATTAAGGACGTCAGAATGCACACTATCATATCTATCATCCTTTGTAGTAATATTTAATACAAGTCTGTTCATCGTCCTATTTGGAAAATTCTACAGAGAATCCTACATAAATAAAGGAAAAAGGAAAATGGGAAAAGATAATCAAAATTTGCTAAAGTATGATGAAATTAAAAATAATGATTAAATTAAAAAATAGCTGTATTGAAAATGAGAGTTTGAATTTTTCTACTAATGGAATAAAGTCTAAAATGAATTGATAACAAAATAAGGTACCTACTTATAGAGAACACTATATTAGTTTGTATATCCTAGTTAGTCGTAGTCATCGATGTCTTTAGGGTTAGATATCTTTGGTCGTAGCTTTAATCTGCAACTGTATCTAACTATAAAATATACTGTAGCAACAATAAAACAAAAAACAAGGAATTATTTATTATAGTAAATATAGACATGTGTTTTATTATTCGTCCCCTATACATATACTCAAATCGCATTGATTTCAGTTAGGTACAATCATTGATTTCATTTACTATGCAGGTAAATAGAAAAGAATTGATTTAGTACAGAGACAGAAACCATTAATTGGCTACCGACCAATGGTTACAAATTTAAACGATGTGACTTTTTTATGGCATAACCCGGTAAACGAGCAGACGGATCACCTGATGGTAAGCAATCGGCGTCGCCCATGGACACCTGGAACACCAGAGGCGTTAATAGTGCGTTACCGGCCTTTTGGGGATTAGGAGTTTGAGGATCGTTGGGGATTCAGGGATTGGGGAGATTGGGGAAGGGGAGGGTAATTGGGCCTCCGGTAACCTCACTCAGACAAAAAAACACAACGCAAGCGTTGCTTCACGTCGGTTTCCTGTGAGGCCGTGGTATCACTCCGGTCGAACCGGCCCATTCGTACCGAAGCTCTCCCACAGTGACTTAAAAACTTTCTATATAATTTAGTAGGTATACCAATAGTTACTGTCTTTGTACTGAGTCGATCTTTATTTTCTTATCTGCATAGTAGGTAAATAACTGTCCTAATTCGTATAATATTATAACTATATAAAACAATAAGATTTATTTACAACTACTACAAAGGTCTGCCGAATGTATACTATATATATATGAATAAACCTGACACCACAATGCATGCCTTCGGACAGAACAGGTCCATTAAAAATTCCGTAGTACTTTCTTCAAAAGTCCAATTCGGTCAAACGGATAAGATTTTCGCATACTTACCTATTATGTCTGAACTTGAAAAAAGAACGACCTCTGGGTATATTTTGGTATTTCATAAGTGTGGGAGAGCTATGCTTCGGTACTTTGCGCGGCGCTCGACCGGTGTAATTCCACGGCCTCACAGAAAACCGACGTGAAACAACGCTTGCACTGTGTTTCATCGTGTGAATGAATTTACCGAAGGCCCAATTACCCCCCTTACCAATCTCCCCAATCCCTGGATCCCCAACAATCCTCAAATTCCTACTCCAACAATCCTCAAATTCCTAATCCCCAAAGGGTCGGTAAAACACTTCTAAACCCTCTGGGGTTTCGGGTATCCATGGGCGGCGCCGTTTGCTTACCATCAGGTGATCCGTCAGCTGGTTCACCTGGTTAGCCCATAAAAAAATCTTCATTGAGTTTAAGTTTCTTTATAAACTGTTAGATATGTAGGTACATTATAATATAAGCCTTAATAGCCTGGTAATAAAGGTTTCCATCTGAAAAGATTTAAAAGTTAGCATTGCAGAGAGTCGCTGAATGTAGGACGCTTTCAACCAGCCGATCTGGAAGTCAATGAGTCTATATATTTATCAGCCGAGTGGACGTTCTATGGCTTATATTGATGATGATGATTATAATGTTCGTAAGAGGATTAAATAAAAAATACTCGACGTACCTGTTAAGTATACAACTGTGTGAAAATGAAGTACCTTTACATTCATTTAACTGTATTAATAAGTCAAACAACAGCTAGTGCTAAAAACGTGACCTGTTAAATGAAATTACCGAAAAACTAACGCTAAGACGAATGTGCAAAGTCGTTGTTTATACAATATACATATTCTTAGGTATTATGACCTGAACTAAGTATGAATATTCATAATTTGGGAGTCAATAATTAACTAAGTGTTCAAATCGTAAGACTAAACGGTTTTTTGCATAATTAAAACTCTTAAATAGCCGAGTATTAATTCTTAGGTATATGTTGTTTCAACAATCCGTAACAGTATACTGCTGATAACTAGGTATAGGTATAATATGGGCTACCCACTGAAATATTATTTCTTATACTTCACTACATAGTATAAAACAAATTCGCTCTCCGCCGTCTGTCTGTCCCTATGTATGCTTAGATCTTTAAAACTATGCAACGGATTTTAATTTTTTTTTTAATAAATAGTATAATTCGTAAGAAAGGTTTATATGTACGATATATGCATACTGCACCCATGCGAAGCCGGGGCGGGTCGCTAGTAATTAAGAAACTCTTAAGAGCCTGAAATAGAAACTATTTCAGAAGCAAGGAACAGAAGCAAGGATATAAAATAGTAAAAAGTGTGAATAAGCGAATGCATTATGAAATAAGTACTTTAATAGATGACACTCTTATTTCTGATAATGTCTCACGGATCCGAAAAATTGGTCAAGGGCATGCAAGTCACGAATCAAAGGCGAGCCGCCTTTAAGTAAAAAGTGTATATCTATATTACAATTAATATTATACATAGTAGTATTACTTACATAAAAGTATCACTGGGTTTTTAAAAATCTCAGTAGTAGCACGGAGTCTGGAAATGTGCCCGGTATATGGCAATAGGCTCACCCCCTATTACATGGGACTCATAACATAAATAGTGAAAAGTGGGTGTTACATTGTACAGTAGCATTAAGTGCCGAATTGTGCATCTCTGCCTACCCCTTCGGGGATAAAGAAGGCGTGTTATGTATGTTAATGTTATGCATCTTAAGTAAAAACCCAGTAGTAGTAATCTTTTTTAAAACCCAGTAGTACTTTGCCCAACTTGGGAATCGACTGCCGAGTCGTACTTGCGACCACTCAGCCAACGAGGCAGAATATTTTACTTTTATTATACATAATTAATATTAAGTATCAATGAATTGAGGTAAGTACGGAGTTCAGGTAAACATAATCTGAATATTATTTAATGTAATTTACTTTAATACTAATTAAATCGATGCAAAACTAATCAGGTAACTGAAATGCTTTCAAATCACTAAACTATTCTCTCTACTGTCGTGGTGGCACGGAGGTTTAAGACACGATTCTCATGCATGAGGGTGCGGGTTCGAAACATACCAACGGCAAGTACCAATATACCTCCTAAGATAATATGTACTTCCTAAGATTGAACAGACACCACTGATAAACGGTGAAGGAAAACATCGTGAGGAATCCTAGACTTATAATTTCTAATTATAACTTTGAAATCGCCAACCCACATTGAGCAAGCGTCGTGCGTGATTAATGCTCAAACCTTCTCCGAGTGAGTAGGGGCTTTGCTCCGCATTGGGCATTATAGGATGTTGATGATGATGTGATTCTCTCTATTCACACATAAACACAATAAATTTTTTTCAACACCAATATTTCAACTTTATATAAAATATTAATTTACAGTAGAAAATCTGTTGAGCAAAATTCTTCATTTTAAATATTTTACCACAAAAAATATTGGAAGAGTCACATAAATAAATTAAATTTATAAAACGCTACCGCTTATAATGGCACCCAACCCAAATGAAAACTTGAAATTAAAAGACAAGACGACTTTTATGTCATATCTCGATTTATAACCAATCGGGTCAGACGTGTCTCTCGTACGTATTGGGACAGAAATGGAAATTAACAATGGATTCTCTGGAATTGGATATAATGGAACTGACATTCGACCAGAACCGATTTATGGAAACAGTGAGTAATTTTAATTGTTTTGTGGTTTAGTATTTTGATCGTTTAAAATATTTGTTGAACACGTTTAACTTAATTATTCCGTGTGCTAATATTATTATAACAACTATTATCGTAATTAAAGTTTATTTCATTTTATCAACTGCGACTGCCAGGAAAGGTGTCTTGGGTTCGATTCCCGAGACGGGCAAAGTATTACTGGGTTTTAAAAAAATCTCAATAGTAACACGGACTCAGGAATTGTGTCCGGTATATAGCAATAGCTTCACCCCCTATTACATGGGACTCATAACATATATAGTGAAATGTGTGTGTTACATTGTACAGTGGCATTAAGTACCATAATGTGCACCTCTGCCTACTCCTTCGGGAATAAAAGGCGTGATGTTATATTATGTTATGTCATTTTATCAAATAGGAAATTAGTTCATATTATTATAATTATGTTATTTACCTCAAAACTATTCTACTATTCACCTATGTATGTACATAAATGCATGAAGCTGCAACAATATAGTAAATACTGGAATATGCAACTATAATTAGATATGTAAGTATAATGTGGCTTATTTGACATCTACAAAAAAATAGAAAGGAATATTCAACCAATTTTTTTTTATATTACTAACAATGAAGTTCCGTGCAAAAGCCATATGCTTTCGTCCTAACAAAAAAAATAAAATAAGGAGAAATATGAATTTTGTAAAATCTCGTTTACGAAAACATAGGTATGTACATGTGAGTGTATTGTTTGTCATTGAGTCACCAGCAACAGGGGATATTTTTTTTTTATTATTGAATATTCACCTTTTCTCCTATATATACCCTGTATATATTATGTATATTCGGGACTTTGACCCGGATTAATATGAAACATGTTTTAAGTCCACATTATGATATTGACTCTGTACTCACATTACTATTAAACAAACGAAATAAACACACAGAGCATTAAATCTATGCATGTTTACACCTAGTTAAACTAAATCTAGTTATTAGGCCTATTTCATAATAATTTATTGAATTTCTTTAATTGGTCGTTCAAAAGTGCCTTTCTGTTCTAATTTAAATAAATGATTTTGACTTTGACTTTAGGATTGACGGATCCTACTAATATTATAAATTCGAATGTTTGTGAGGATGCGTGTGTGTGTTTTATTATTTATTTATCTTTATATCACAAAGGTAAGTATTTTATAATCTAAGCCCCACAAAACCCTTTGTTGTTACACTCTTTCTCGTTAAAACAGCTGATGGGATTAGGAACAGGGATAGATTATAGTCTATAATAACACATAGGCTACTTTTTATCCTACTGGAGCGGGCGAAACCGCTGGCAGCAGATAGTTTCATTTATTTTCCACATTTAGGAATAACCATTTTCACCAATCTCTCCTAAATATTATGGAACCCTAAGCTAAGATAGATGATCTTTATTCGATATTCATACGTTATTTAAGTTTTCACCAACCAATAGGTGACACCTAACAGTACAAGTAATAGTTTAGGTGCTGCATCACGCTAATTAACTTTTAGCTAAGTGACAGTTTTGATGTGGTTGATGATAACGGACAGTCCATTAAAATAAATAAGGAGTAATTAATAACTTCATCAGACATAATGAAACAGGACTTAAGTAATTAGAATACAAAGTGCATAGAGAACGGTTTTATTCCATTAATAATAATTTGGTTTTCTTCTATTTTCATTAAGGGTAGTAACAAAAGCTCCGACAAGAAAAGAAGAATTGTCCTTACTGAAAATATTAGGTAAATCTACTGCCTAAAATACTAACTTTCCGACTAATGACTGTTTATTGCTACAATACTAACCTAACCTAAAAAGTCTGTTGTGGGTAACTTAGTAATTTTGTCGGAGGATCAATATTCTATTCGGAAGTTTAGTTTTGTTATTCGAAGATCCATTTTTATAGTCGGCCACAGATCGCTGGAGATTAATTTGTTTTTCGGAACCATTATTATTTTCCTTTCATTAATCAGCGCTGTATCAATTACATTATTATAGAAGAACTATCTTGTGACGGTATGAAATATTTTGTATTAAATATTCACTCCACTAGCAAAAATGTATTTTACATTTTTAATTGCACAATCTAAATGGTTGATGAATAATAATTAGGAGCATCCAGACCATAACAACGCTCGCCCCAGTGCGTTTGACGTTGCCTTAAGAAGATCACGTGCACTTCGGGGTCGTTGAGTACTGTGTGTGGTTGTGCGCCCGCTCAATGACACTCCGGGCGTCGAAAATCATGCGACGATCTTCGGCCACCAGCAAGGGCAAGCAAGAATAGCTCGCCCCTCGATCAGAATCAGACCTGTGCGTACGGCGCATTGCGTTCCGTAACCCTTAAGACATTAAATGATTTTCCCTCTCAAAAAAAAACCATAACAACATTAACTGCAAATGTATATTGTTACAATCAAAGTGGTTAATTTGATATATCTGCGAATAATTGGATTAAGTAATAAAACAAAGAGGTGTAAATGTCTCTAGCATGGCATTAGGTATCCATAATAACCAGTCATTATGGATACCTAATACCATATTTGGCTGTAACACATATATCTACTGAAAATATCACTTTAATCGTAGCAAATTGTTTGTTGATGGTGAAATGACGTTATATGACAAAAAATAAAATTATTTGATAATATTTTTAAATAATGTTACGTACACACTAAAAAAAAATGAATAATTTCAAACGCATACCTACACAGTATTGTTTTCTTAGACCATTAATTATATTCAAATAAATAAAAGTTATTTCAGTGGTGTATTTCAGAAGAAGGTTAAAATATTCTATTCTATTATGTTAATTTTACAGATTCCTTCAATGACTGTAGGTACACTACACGCATGTGTAGGTATAGGTATTACTTTCTTTTATTTGATTGGCAATCACTTTAAGAGTTTCGGTAACTAAGTGTATTTAGGTATACCCAACCGACCCTTTAACTAAAAATGACGGGACATTAACAGCCTTTAAGTGGCCACTACTGACTAAAAGCCTTTCCTCACATGGCGAAGGTTTGAGCATCACCACACTTGCTCAATACTAAAGTATAAGCCCAGGTTTCCTTTCGATTTTTTCCTTCATCGTTTGTCACTGGCCTGTAAATGATCTTAGATAATACATATAACTCGATAAAAGTCACATTGGTACTTGTCGTTGGTAGGTTCCGAACTCGCAACCTCATGCATGAGAAGCCCGCGGAGCGTCTTAAACCTCCGGACCACCACGACTACAAAAATGACGAGTCATTTACGTAAATATAGGTTTTGAGAAAAGCTCTACTAGTTTCGAGTCACAGAGGGACCCTTTCTTATGAGGAGTGTTCGCAGTCAAGGGCAATGTTGCAGTTTACTACTAGACTTACTCTATTTCAAATGTTGCGTATTTTAAAAATAAATAAATAACTATGTAGTTAAGATAAACATGTTATTGTTCGCCTAAAGGTTGCAATTGAGAATATTAATTTATTTAAATGTTGGTCCTTGGGGTAGGTCGTAGCTATAATCGCGTCTTTAGTCTCGTATAAACAAGATACGGTGAAATAGAAATATCTAACTTAAAGTAAGGGCTTAAATAATAATAAATAAATAAAACTTTATTCATAATAACAAAAATGCAAAATACAAAAATATATCTTAAGTACGTACTATTGGTCTCACATAGTTATATGCCTGCACTAGGACAATCCTGTATCGCATGCGAAAGGAGATCTTAATATAATTCTTATAGTAGGACATTTTATTTCTATAAACACAGATAGGTACATTATGCAACATACAAATATACTTTCATAAAATACATAACATAACCTCATATCTCACATTCTCAGAAGGGGTAGGCAGAATGTACTTATGCATAGACAGAAGGTAGGCACAATGTATCACGACTAACAAAACCATATTTATTTTCCAGCGGATTTCGTGGACACATGGTTTCTGATGGGCTCACCATTCCCAGTGGCCATAATCCTGGCTTCATACTTGTTGTTCGTGTTGAAGATTGGACCCATGTTCATGATGAGGCGAGCACCATATCAACTGTCAAACGTGTTACTCTTGTACAATGCAGTCCAAGTGGGCGTGTCCTGTTTTCTTTTTCAAAAGGTAAGTTATAATACTGGCTTCGTTGCTCCGAAGACTATAAGTAGGACTACTGAGCAACAAATATTTTTTTTTTGTAAGTCATCTGTCAATACATCCAAAGAATCCAGAGAAACAGAGCTCAGGTCAGGGGGCTTACTCTTGAATCCAATCCCGATCGATCGATATTGGTATTGTAAAATTTCGTAGTCTTGAGTTACCCATAGCGCCCATTGCCTCTATATTGCGTGGATATTTAATGAACTAAATGAGTTTGAGTTTGGCTGTATATTCTGATTCATATCTGAATGCTATTTTAACAGCTACGTTAGATTTTGTAAGTATACTTTTGACATTGAATAATTATTGAGATTTTATTGGATTGAAATTGCATTGACATTGAGGTTAGTTTCAAGAGTACCTAGATAAGCATTTAGGTTATAGCTATGGTACTCATATGAGCATTACGCTCATCCTTTATTTTATGTCAAAGTCAAAGTCATTTATTTCAATTTGACCAGAAAAGCACTTTTGACCGTCAGCAACAAAACAAGTGAAGTTATTTACTCATTCTTGTAATGAGTGGTGGTAGGTGGTGGTAGGTGGTGGCTTGTAATGAGTGGTGGTAAGGTGTAGATTCCTAAGAAGAAGAACGAGCAAGAAACTCCATAGGTTACTCTTTTTCAATCAGGTTCATAATATAATTCTTTAGTTACATAGTTTTGTTGGTTACTCATAGTAGTTGGACAACAAAACATAACGTCGCACCCATTTATGTGGTCACACGTTAATCCTCAAAGATGTAGGTAGGATATACACTTTTCACCATAATCATATTATGCGTCTCACGTTGATAGTCTTCTTCGAAGAATAAAAGTGTGTATGTAAAGCTAGATAATTATGTTATGTAGTTATCATCTCATATTTCCTTAAGGAGTGGGCAAATAATTTGCTAAGCATACTGACAGTGTATGTATTGTCCGGTTAAACAGACACTTTGAGGCCTGCCTGATGTCATTGTCATAAAAAATTGTCAGTTTTCTTATCTCTTCCAAGTACAAGGCAGAATCTCATGATCTCTTGGCTCTTATTCTTTTTTTAAAAAACGTGTCAATACAATACTATTATCCCGGTTGCCAATAAAGCTCAAGGGTGGCTTCGACGCGAAACAGGAATTGGAACGGGGTGGTTTTCAGTCAATAAGCGTCCCTGCCAGTTTACCCAGGGTGCGAGAAGTCATTGAACAATTTACTCCTTCGATAAAAGAACATTACTATTTTCACCTATGTCATAGTAATCACGTATTTTTTAATTCGGACTTAGTAAAAAGAACACATCTACAGGTAAAGTTGGTATGCCTTGGAAATTATCTGACAGTCGACCTTTAGGTATATATTATAACTTTCGTGAGACATACTAAATTAATTATTATGTTTTCGGTTTACTCATGTAACTGTTTGACGAAAAACTCGACGAGTTTCAAGCCGTGCTAGAGGCTAATATTCATGAGCAGCATTCCGCGACCGGCTATGCGGTGACTGAGGCCTTTAACCTACCTTTAGGTGTTGCATAATTTAACCTTCACATTACAATTTCGTTAACAATTCCATGTCTTTCCTTATTCCTTAGATTACCTGTGTAAATATGAGTATAATTAATATTAAATTCCAATACGCAGTGGTCAGATTTTCACACCTATTGCTATTTGTAAGTAACAAAGCAAATGAAAACTGCAATAAATCAATACCTATGTGTACAAAACTGTATTTAATTTGCTATGCAAATGTGTACTCTAATGTTTGCTAAATAAACTGTTTATGCAATGCACAAATAAGGTATGTTTGCTTAAAGTTTCTTAGATCATAATGTCACAAGTCACTATCTTGTATAAATCAATACCACAAAGGGTGGTTTCATCCTTTGTGGTATTGATTTATACAAGAGTACTTATTGATTTATACAGTTTCACCCAGGAGTGATCTGAAAGCTTATTATGCTTTATTTTGTAATTACACTAATATTACTAGCTTATTATTAGCTTCTGCCCGCGACTTCGTACGCAATCCCGTTTTCTCCCGTTCCCGTAGGATTTTCAAGATTATTTTCTATCATAAGAACCTTCTCCTGACATTATTGTCAAACACAACAAAAAATTTAGACAAATCGGTCTAGCCGTTCTCAAGTTATGGCGTGACAACGGGAAACGGGTGTCATGTTTACATAATATATGTAGATGTAAAAGTTTCTTTGTTTCGATGTTTGGCTGTCAATAACGCTGCAACTACTGAACGGATTTTAATGACATTCCTGGAGATAAATAGGTATATTGTTTTAGTTTAATGGTTTTATTTGTTATGTTTAAATTTTTATTTCGTTATTTAAAAGTAGGTAGTACATTGACATTAAACGGATGCTTTCTGTCGGAACTGGTCCGTTTACCCTGACCATGAACGAGCTTGAATGATTAAATGCGTAATTAAGTCTCATTTACGTTCAGGTTACTTTCGTAGATATGCGTTTTTTAAATACAGTGTTTTTTATAGCCAAATTATTGGTTTTAAACTTTACAATATGACACTATTGTATTGGACTGCAGTATTGAAATGAATTTATTTTCGATGGTATACAATTGGTTTTATAAAATGTTCCATCCTCTGATTAATACTATCACCATATTAATAATTTAATTACCTTTTTGACATGAAAAACGACAAACAAACATACTAATATTCACATGGGTAATAAAGTTAAAAATAAAGTGTGGATAAGGGTAAAACAAGCTAAAGGGTTAATAAGGTCGATGACCTCATTTCAACGCGATAAAACTCGTAGGTCAAATTGAAAGTGACCCCTAGTCGAGGGAAGTATTATAGCGGTTTCGTGATTGATAATATCAAAGTAATAATTAAAGAAAAATTGTGTTTTTCCAGTGTGTCGCCATGATTGTTGAGAATGGGGTGGTGCCAAAGACCTGCCTGATGGAAACGGACTACAGTAGGAGAAGTGTGAGTTTTTTTGTTTCGTTAAACTTTCCCATAAATAAAATTTTCGAAATCATTCTGACTGCCCCTCCATCAGAATCGATGGGATTTTATAATTTATGGAATTATTTATCTGTAATTCTAAGCCATGTACATGTTTGTTTATATATAACAACATACCGGCCGAACGTATAACCTCCTCCTTTTTTGAAGTCGGTTAACAAACAAAATAGTCTTCCAAATACCTATTCCCATCGAAAATATGAGAAGTAGGAAAACAACATAAACCCCCTAAAAATCGATATCCTATCTTTAGCCTAGGTATATAGGTAAACGTGGTCATGAGAACACAAATAAGTATTAAGTACTAAATTAAAACGAAAAAAATGAAAGATAAAACGACGAACGAAAATTTTACTAAAATAATTAGCATTTTACATAAATCTTTCTTCATTTCGGTTCCAGATAACAACAGCGATGTACTACTACCTACTAGCCAAGGTATCAGAACTGCTGGACACCGTATTCTTCATACTCCGCAAGAAGAACAACCAAGTGACCTTTCTCCATGTATACCACCATGCTATAATGGTGTTTGTGACCTGGATAGCATTGAAGTATGAGCCGACCTTTGCCCTCGTCTTCATGGGATTGTTGAACTCCTTCGTCCATATTGTCATGTACACGTATTATGGATTGTCTGCTTACCCAAATCTGGCAAAATATTTGTGGTGGAAGAAGTATATTACTAGGTTGCAATTGGTGAGTTGATAACATTACATGATTATAACCGTTAGTACCTAATAATTCATTGCCGAAGAAGAAGACAGATTTACATACAGTATTCTCACTATTTTCCTAATGGATTTTGTTTTTCTATTACTATACTGAATACAAGTTCAGACATTTTACACATAATAGTAACCGAATTAAAATCTTTGTTATGTAATGCTTTATCCATCGTATGGAAGCTGGAATATTGTACTACCCTAAACTTGATCACTAGCAGAAGCAATCCCGTTTTCAATATAGTTCACATTAAAACTTGCGCCAAATTCAACTGATACTTTTTTATGTTTTTGAATTTCAAAACATTAATTTTTACTTTACAGTTGCAGTTCGTCCTAGTTCTGCTTCATTTTGGAACAGCCTTCGCAACCTCAAGCTGCCCTCCATCGAAAATCATGTTTGCATCAATGCTATTCAATGGATTTCTCTTCATCTATCTCTTTGGAAGTTTTTACATCAACACTTATAACAAAATAAACAAGAAAACTAAAATTGATAAAGAAAGTAATGGAACCAATGGCATCAAAGAAGAATTTAATGAAATAGAAAAAGAAGATAATAAAAATGGAATGAAAATCTGCAAAGATGAGAAAGCTACCGATGAGAATGATTATACAAGTGCCGCTATCAAACTGAACGACAAATATTGCTTTACTTTCAATTTGCAGACGAAGAAATTATTGTAGATAGTATTTTTGTCTAAAATGTGTTGTTAATGATTTCGTAGTATTAGATAAATGTGATTTTTAATTGTAGGGAATAAAAATAAATCAAGCAATCGTACGTATCGTGAAGAATTTTATTTACCCACACTAAAGGCTGGTCGCGTCCTTTGAAAATGTTGAAAATTGATAGTTTCAAAAATAACCTTCAGAACTTAAGTCAATTTAATCTAACATCGAATTTTAACCAGTTATTTTATAAGTTCTTTACAAAAGGATGAGGCAATTGTCATGCATGAGGCAGAATTTCTGAAATTCTGACTCTGTGCTACTTATTAATGAATTTTACCGCAAAGATCGAAGACCTGCCCAGGTTTATTTTTGATTTGGACAATATAATGTGTAAATATTAATGAGGACCACCATTTTCCAATTTAATTCTAAGGATCTTCATAGAACTAGTAAAATATTGAATTTGAAATTGTACCTTAAACTCAATCAAATACTTAGTTACTTAGTTTAGCCTTAGTTCGAGTTTTTTTTACGTTTAAAGTAATTGAAATGAGACCGCGTTCTGCATTCTGATTTGTTGGTTCATTGGAGCCGGCCAATCAGAGCATAGGTCTCGTACGTATAACGAACGGGTTGCTATTTACAAAACCACCCGTTCGTACCAAAATTTTAATTTTCTTTTTTTTGAGAAATTTATTTGCTACTAACGATAATGAATGTATTTTAAATCTATTATAAGTACAATACCGTATTCAATCAGTAACCTTTAATACATACATAACCTCACGCCTGTCTCCTATTGTGGTAAGCAGAGACTATGGAACGCCAATCACTATGATTCTTACATACCTCCTGTGCTTCCTCAACATTAACCTTTAATATGATGAAATAAACTATTTTACGTTGTTTTTCAAACATGTCTTTAAATAATCTATAATCTATTGGCACGATATTACTTATTTCTATAGTTACAATTTGCGAAAAACAGTATTGTTTATTTACACGTGTGTGGTGCAAAAAACTAATTAATGCTGCTAAACTAGGTACTTATTCTATTTTCATTCAAAATTATGCATACATAACCGTAATACAATTTTATACCAATGGAAAATACGTTACTATTATCCTGAAGGGGGGGAGAGCGTAACTGGGGTAATAATGTATGATAGTCAAATGGGGTTTGATATCGTATCGACTCGAAGATAGAAGACCAATCGCGAAGGTGGACAGTAATACTTCATCATCCTTCATATAGCGTTCGTTCACAGAAGTGGATGTCCTCTATCCTATCTTGGCAATATGAAATCTTTGTGAGTGAGCACCTAGCTTCACTGTTAGACGAACTAACAGACTATTATTTATTTCTTTACTAGCTTCTGCCCGCAACTTCGTACGCGTAATCCCGATATTTCCCGTTCCCGTTCTTGATTTTCGGTAAAAAGTAAAAAAAAAGAATTGGGTAAAAAGTATCCTATGTCCGTCTCCTAGTTCTAAGCTACCTCCCCACCAATTTTGATCCAAATCGATTTAGCCATTCTTGAGTTATAAATAGTGTAACTAACACGACTTCCTTTTATATATATAGATTTGTTGACGTTTTAAAAGTACCAGATGATGGACTTAGAATTTTCGTATATTATTTTTAGCTAGAACAAACAGACAAAGAAATTGTTATTACTAAAAAACAATGGTATTATGGTATTAGATAATTATGTATCGTAATATATTTGTATATTCATATCATGAAGTAAAACACGGTTATTTCAATGTTACAAACATACACTGTAATTTGATTTATAAGTATAGATTTTGTGACATTAAAATGGCACAGAAAGCTTTGCATAGAGAGAAGTCGAAGCTGCTCCCGCCTGGGTGAGGCGGGAGGGAGTGTCAGACTCTTACTGACTAAAAACCACCCCGTTCCTTTTCTTGCACGTCGAGCCGGAGCCCCGGTTACCCGTTAGGTTCTCCGCGACTGAAGCAAGGGTAGGAAGGCCTTTGTCCTGTAGTGGGACGAACATGAATGAAAAAAAAACACCAAATGAATAAAAAATATTATCTTTTAATCAGTTCTTATGTGGAACAATAGCCTCCAGTTCACTATAATGTTGATGACCTTCCAGATATAAATAAACAGGTCAAGTCATAATTACTTTTTTTATTTAAATATTAATTCAATTTAATTCTGTTACATCAAACTGTTATAATTAGGTGTTGATTGGTCATACAGCAATACAACAAAATAGGTCATTTATTGTAAACAGGAACTGAATTACCTCTATATAACAAATATTTATTTTTGTATATATATATTATGAGTCTATACTCATAAAAATAAATATTTATAAAAGGTTAATGGCTTCAGGCGTCCAGAGCTGTAGACAACCTAGCGGGCTATCGGGGCTCCGGATCATAGCAGAAATACAAACTGGGTGGTTTTTAGTTAATAATAGTCTAACAGTCCCTCTCGCCTCACCCAAGGCGAGAGAAGTCATTGGACGATTTCTCCTTTTAAAAAAAGAAAAAGGACTCATCGCTTAAACATTATTTTATTAAAATCGAGACTACCTAAAACATGAAAACTGTCCAAGAAAAAAGTAGGTACTCATTACACCCTTTCTGACCCCTTTAAAGAACAAATATCGAAATATTGTTAGATTATCGTGCCGAAAACTGCGAGTACCAAAATACCCAATAGCACATTGTATGATCCGAAACTATGGCTTATAATAACTACCCATACAATACTCAACCACCTTGCTTGCCTTCCAAGAAACGGAGAAGACGAGTCATTATTCACTCGATACCCAAAATCGATGTAAGTAAATGTTCCGAGACAAAATTTCGATACGTTCGGAATAATTACTCATTCATTATTGACTACAAAAAAGGGGAAATTTTTATACTGAACCAGCTCCTGCGCCGTAAAAGTTTCACTTCCGTACTGTAAATCAATAAGTAATTTCTCTTTAACATATCCTAAGATAAGAATTTAAAAAATATTATTTATTTCATACAATTTTCAATTTGAGTTTTAATGATATTATTGGCGTTTATTTTCAATAGTCAAACAAGAAATTTTACTAACTTTTGTCTGAATAATAAAAACTTGCTCAAGTGTTATGCATACAGATAAATAAAATTGGAGTATCTGTTCGTAATATTGCGATAACTGTTTTAACATGCATATGAATATACGATACATATACCAAAATAACATATTTTTTTAATTTTGTCTCTTTATCTGTGCGTATTGGCTAATCTCTGAAATGGCTAGAGCGATTTTGACGGGACTTTTACTGGCAGGCAGCTGGTGTACTATGGAGTAACATATAGGTAAGGTTTTTTTAAAAAAAAGACTTATGTTCTAAAACTTACATTGTATGTAGACGAAGTCGCATGCAATAGCTAATTTTGTGAAAAAATCAATCTTATCACTTTATTATAAGGTTTAGAAAAGAATGTTTTATTTTCTACCTCGACTTCTGACTGCGATAGTCCTCTGCTGAACTATTGGCCCCTACTGACGTCGACGCACTGCAAGCGACTGGGTTGGAGACTTAACTGGATTCGAAGCATTTTATTCCATATTTCTACCTCATGATGTAAATATTTAAGACCGAAATATGAATCACTAGTACTCACTACGTAATTTTAAATAAACCATCATATTGCAAACAAAATGTTCAAATAGGTATCTAATGATTTATGTAAACAGTGGCTTAACTATTATATGCCTTATCAATTAGATAATACGGCGGATTATATTGTTGACAAAATCAGTCATTGTTTATTTTGTACGGAAATTGGGGAAACTCTTCTTCCTTTGGGGAAAAATACACCATAGTACCTATTAGGTCATCGCCTATTATATGGGCCTTATAACGTTAATGGTTAAAAGTAGTAGATCTTACAATCACTGCCTGCGATCACTGCCTCATTGGCCAAGTGGTCCGAGCAAGGGGTCTCGGGTTCGATTCCCGGGCCGGGAAAAATACTACCGGGTTTTTTAAAAATCACAGTAGTAGCCCGGAGTCTGGAAATAATTCAATAAGCTCAACTCCTATTACATGGGACTCATAACATGAATAGTGAACAGTGGGTGTTACACTGTACAGTGGCATTAAGTGCCGTTATGTGCACCTCTGTCTACCCCTTCGGGGATAAAAGGTGTGATATTATGTAGGTATGTATATATTGGTATGTATGTTATAATCAGATATAAAATAAAACGTTTCCGTAATGAATTCTGTTACAATTGTGACGAATTATATTGTTTGAAAGTAAACAAATATTGTTAAGCTCCTGTTCTGATAATAGATTTTGTACTGAAAATCACTGCTTTATTGACAGATGTATGTATAGATCAAATACAATTTTTATTGAAAAATTCCAAATTATTTTTTTTAATATCTAACTAACGGACTAATAACTACATGTATATTTACAACTTAAATTAACTAAACTAGAAAATAAAATGAAAGTAAAAGAAGTAAACAACAAAAATTAATACATCATTTTTTTTTTCTTCTTTGGCAACCGAGTCTCCAAAAAATACATAAAATTAAAATTAAATTAACGTCTTAATATTATGTATGAAAGGTCAAAGTCATACTCTGAAATATGACAAAAATACACTTTAGTAACAAAAATAAAAATAAAGGCTAGTCTAGATAGTCGTGTTCCTCGTCAAATAGTTACATAAGTAAGCCGAAAACATAATAACTAATTTAGTAAGTGTCACCATAATCTTTAAGTATATAATTATTCTGTGAGTGTGTATGTCACTGAACTTCTCTCAAACGACTGGACCGATTTTGATGACATTTTTTGTGTGTGTTTAAGGGGATCTGGGAATGGTTTAGATTCATAAATCAGCGCGGCAGATGGCACTGCAGTCGATGTTTAGGTCATTTATCCTAAAAAGCTGAACTAATTTGAATGAATTTTTGTTTATACATTCAAGTGGATATGCAGGACAACGTCTGTTGGGTCCGCTAGTTTTTATATAA